TTCACACCATCCTTCTAAAGCACCTTTAGCTTAACTTGGATCTGATAAGCGGAGAGACTCCACAACTCATTACAGTTGTAAAGTAGGTATGCTTTATTCAGCTGGGGCGCACGGGGGATAGCTCTTCCAAAGGCATGCCTGCCGCAACCTCATCTCTCCCCTAATTATTCTCTAAAATTATACATATTCATCAGGTTACACAACACGCCTATACATATTCCGGCATCTGCTCCCAGCCGTCCTGCAGCACAGTGAGCAGAGCAGGAAATGTTTGGCCTCTGCTAACACAGCTGAAGAGGCAGGACAGAAAACTGTGGCCAGGCCTCTTTTGCAGACTGTGAGGTTCGCAATGATGCCACCAGCACTGCTCTTGCTCCTTGCTTTTCCACCTTAAATTCCCAGGCACAGAGTCTCAGCCCCAGAGTCTCAGCCCCAGCCTCATCTCAGAGTATGAGCCCTGCAGTCTTAGCCACAGAGCCTGCGCCGCAGAGTCTCAGCTACAGTCTCAGCCCCAAAGTCTGAATCCCAGAGTCTTAGTCATAGTCGCAGCAACAGTCTCAGCCCCAGACTCTCAGCGCCAGCGTCTTAGCCCCCCAGTCTCAGCCCCACAGTCTCAGCCACAGAGTCAGAGTCTGACGGTATCAGCTCCAAAGTCTGAGGCCCACAGTCTTAGCAATAGAATCGCATCAACAGTCTCATCCCCAGAGTCTCAGACCCAGACTGTCAGACAGTCTCAGCCCCAGAGTCTGCTCTCTCCACACCAAACACCTCCATTGGCAGATTGGTGATGTCTCAATTTCTCTGCCTCCCCAACACCCCCTTTTCTCTCTCTCTCTCTCTCTCTCTTCTCTGAAAGTTGCTAAGTAACACGAGGCCCACCTCAACTTCTCATGAAGCCACAGAGCTCAGGTGGAGTCTAACTGTGAGAAGGTAAACATTTGCAGAATATTTGTTCTGTTAAAGTTGGTGTTTATGTAGGGACCTCGGGTGTTATCTCAGCTGAATGCGCACAGAAGGGCTTTGGAGGGAGACTGAGCTGAGCTCTTAGGCAGAAGCTCTTCCCTGTGAGGGTGCTGAGGCGCTGGCACAGGGTGCCCAGAGAAGCTGTGGCTGCCCCATCCCTGGCAGTGTTCAAGGCCAGGTTGGACACAGGGGCTTGGAGCAACTTGCTCTAGAGGAAGGTGTCTGTCCTGGGTTTAGCAGCGGCAGTCATTTTGTCTCCTTCTTGGTAGCTGGTGCAGTGCTGTGTTTTGGCTTTTGGGCTGGGAACAAAGCTGATGAAAATGATGTTTTTGTTTGGCCAGGGACTTTGTGAGCCTCCTGCTCTGCCAGGGAGGAGGGGAAGCGGGGAGGAGGCGGAGACAGGACACCTGACCCAAACTGACCAAGGAGGTATTCCATACCACAGCACGTCATGCCAGGGGGGAACTGGGAGTGGCCGGAAGGACAGGGGGTCGGCCGGGTCGGACTCGTGGTTCGGCGTGTGGTATTGTACTCTTTTCCCTTGCTATTTTCTCTTATCATTGTTGTCGTTGGTGGTAGCGGTGGTGATTTGTATTGTACACTAGTTGCTAGACTGTTCTTATCTCAGCCCGTGGGAGTTGCATTCTTTCGATTCTCCTCCCCATCCCTCTGGGAGCGGGGAAGGAGGGGCAGCCCCTGGGGAAGGGCGGGGGGACTAACGTGGGCCTCGATTGCTTCCAGCCTGGCACCACTCACTGGGAGTAAGTGCACAAGTTGTCTGGCTGGGGTTAAACCATGACACTGCCACAGTCAGAAATTAAACAAGGTCAGAAAGTAACACCGGAAGTCCCCAAAACCTTACCCCGTTTCTTGGGCAGTCCTTTCTATAGTGGCCAGGTTTTCCGCAGTGAAAGCAAACATACAATGGTGGAGGTGTACCCAAGGGCTTCTTCCTGTAACTGAAAAGGTTTCAGGAAGAAAAAGGTATGCATGTGTCTCTACACAATTTTTCCCATAATCATAAAAGAACTGATTTGACATTATCGACACTTACTTGACAGGATCGTATTGACGCACAGACTGTATCATCATGGCTTTTATTTTATCTTCTTCAGAAGCATTGGCTTCAGCCAGGTTGGCAGTCTGTTTAACACAGAATTATTTGACACACATATTACCATCGGCGAGTCAGAGCTTAAGACAGTTCAGCAGTTCAGCTATCTGGGAAGCATCATTTCCTCGGATGCCACGATCGACAAAGAGATAGACAACAGAATAGCAAAGGCATATAGAGCCTTTGGAAAACTCCATAAAAGAGTCTGGTGTAATAAACACCTGAAGAAAAGTACAAAGATCAGTGTCTACAGAGCCACTGTATTGTCTACTCTTTTATATGGGTCTAAATCATGGGTCATCTACCGTCATCACCTGCGACTCCTGGAACGCTTTCATCAGCGCTGCCTCCGTACAATTCTAAACATCCATTGGACTGACTATGTGTCTAATGTCACTGTCCTCGAACAGGCAGGGGTCACCAGCATCGAGGCCACATTGCTGAAATTGCAGCTGCGCTGGGCAGGGCACGTCTCTAGGATGAAGGATTACCACCTCCCCAAGATCGTGTTTTATGGTGAACTTGCCACCGGTAGCCGCAAGAGAGGTGCCCCAAAGAAGAGATATAAGGACTCCCTGAAACAATACCTTAGCCTTGGCCATATTGACTACCATCAGTGGTCCACCTTGGCCTCCAATCGGGAGACTTGGAGGCACACCATACATAATGCCGCTGACTCCTTTGAGAGTTCACGAAGAACTAGTCTCGAGGAGAAAAGACAACGCAGGAAGAATCGCGCCCCACCTGTTCCACCCAAGGAGACCTTCTGCTGTGCTTTTTGTAGCCGGATTTGCCTATCCCACATTGGCCTTCTTAGTCATCAGCGCGCTTGTAGTAAGCGTGGGTAAATGCCCTTCCCAAATCTTCGTTCACGAAGTCAAGCCATGATGATGATGATGATTTGACACACACATTAGAAACACATGCAAGCTCACCCAGCGAAAGACAACACCACTTGCTCAATCCTGTAAAGGGCACCACAATGCTAGCTGATGTTGCCTGAAAACAGATGCTTCTATAAAACACAGTTGTCCTGAGCATGCGCTGAGGAGACTTTGTGCTTCTACAGGATGCTTATGTGCCCGCTAGCCTACTTGAAAAGAGCATTCTTGGGCACTCAAAACCTTAGGCTTGACATAGACTTGTGTAACCGATCCACTTTTCTTCCAAGTGGACTGAAGTGATCAGTAAAAGAAATGACCTAGCAGTAGTTTTCAACTGGTTTTGAAGCTCCAGCCCATTTGAAGGAGAAGATAGCTACTGTGCATTTAATTGAGAAAGATTTCTGCAAGTTATAGTATTTACATTTTGCAGCACTAAAAAGAACACACGGTGTTAGTGGCAGGGCTGTAGTTTTTGCTTGCTGAAATTCAGCATCAGACACAAAAGCGCTGAAAGGAATCTTTCTGATCCCTCAGCAAGACACAAGGTTCTTTTCAGTAGAAATGTGACCATCGTGTCCTGTAGGCAATCCAAACTGCATTTACCCCCTACTAACTTCTTCCTACTAAGGAATTTAACTACAGAGAGCACAACCTGCAGGCTTTTCCAGGGGACTGTGTCCTTTCAATGGACATATTGTAATACCACCCACGTGCAGAACTAGATCTTGAAGCCAGCTGATTTTTTGGTGTTTTTATTACACACTAGTCCATATACAAGAAAGGTCTAAGGGAGTGCCTGTAAATGATTTGGACCTCCAATCACCCATCTTTCAGGTCAACCACGTACGTCTTCACTTCTACACGCATTTGTTCACAAGAGCAATCAACCAGTTTCTGCATTTTATTAAATGGCTTGTTCATATACACAGTTTTTTCTTATCAGTTATACGATCCAGATGGACATCTATGAAATCTTTTCCATTAACGTTTACAGGAAAGTTTGCAGACGTTTGACTGATTTGTTCAAACCCAAACAGTTTACAAAGCATATCCAAACCTCACAAAACGTTACTAGCAATAGACCAAAATTCAACTATGGCATTTACTGCACTGTAATAATAAAACAAAAACTAGTTCACAGCACACTGCCCCTGTGCTAAGCCAGCCTGAATAGTGTGTTTCGAGTAAGTAACAGTTTTGAGCTGCCTTATGTGTTGTTTGTGCGTTTCTCAAAAGATTCATTGTGCACACCACAGTTTTCCACATTTGAGAGTAAAACTTCACATGGGTTTACAGAACCAAGACACGCAGGGACAGCCGAAGGCCCCAAATTTCATTTCTTCAGCGAGAGAGGGAAGATGCTGCTGGTGGGAAGACCTCTCGTTCTTAGAAATGAAATCCTGCCTCTCTTCTTAGGAGAAAGAACTAACTCCCATCTTTTCCATTTAATTGGCTAGCACTACGCTTTTTCACAAAGGGCAGTCATTAGTGTTGAGCCAAAAGAGCAAGCAGTTCCATCCCAAAACAGGCCATTGCAACATTTTCAGCTGGTCACATCTGCTAATACACCGTAGATACACACTGGTACATTCCTCTAAACAATCAAGTACACAATTTACACAGTTGACACAGTCTGCACGCAAACAAATTTGATTGCGTTCTCCACTGTCCAGAGGCTGGAATTCACGGGACTGTGCAGTGTCCAAAGAATGCTTCTATGCCTCTAATGACTAGAAATTCAAAACCAACCGTGCCATTGTCCAAGTTCCAGAAACACTTCTACTTCAGCTGTTGCAAACTGCCCTGAAATGTCCATACCACACAGCCAATTAAATTCTTTTGTAAAAATGCTGTTAGATTCCAACACAAACTTAATGAAACATAGGAAAAACAGTAAACAGCTTTTGAGGTACTGCTGCTTTATGTCCTGAAGATGAGTAACGCTGCAACATTATGTTGAGGCTGAGAAGGTACTCCCCTTCTGTCTTCCCAAACTGGCAAGTACTCTTTACAGCACAGTATCAAATTAGACATACCTGTTAAACTAAATACTTTATTAAAAATTAAAGTTTTGTTCACATTACAACACTTATCCATCTATAGACTGCAAGTGAGGCTTAAAAATATGAAGGAAACTCTTATTTTTAAATATTTTACAACAATACAAATATACACACCTTTAAAAGCTGGGCCAGAGAAAGAGATGCAGAAGGCTCATCATTCACCTGTTCAGCAAAAAAATAAACGCATATTCAAGTTCTATAATCAAAACATAGCAAGAGTTAACCTCTACTGCAGTCTGAAAATCTGCACTCTATCCTCTGCGTGTCACTGAAAGAGGCATTGCCAGCCTACTGTAATTTGTATTTGTTCAGAATAAAGTCCAAACCTGTGACAGCTGAAAAGTGCCTATGTGGCTAATGAGACGAAACTAAACTAACCAACTCACTGGAGATAGACTTACTGCTCCAGAGTACCTCAGAGAGGGGCCCTTGTGAAAAATGCTGAAGTTTATTTGAGAAGGAAGCATCACTACAGGAAACTTACTTGCAGTGTAGTTTGTAAATTGGTCAGCTAATGTCTCATCATTTAAACATGCATTTATACAGTTATGCTTTGACGAATAACTGCAAAGATGCCAAACTCACCATACCCCACCAAACCCAAACACCAATCTGAACCATCAGCCATAAAAGTAACCTGCCAATTTGTCTAGGAAAAAAAGAAACTGCTCAAATTACTGGGGGAAAAAAAAAAAAAAAGGTGTTTACTATGACAGAGTAGCCTATAAAAATGGAGAAAAAATATTTCTTGTATTTTAATAGACCACAGGACACACTCTCCAAATCAGTTTGGGAAGTGTGAGAATTTTTGTTCTTCTTTCTATCAGACCAAACCCAATCTTTCCTGACGATGAAAGCATGGATTCAAAGCACAGTCATGGCATTTTTTCCTCCATTGCAAACATACTCCACCCTCCCAGCTGCCTACGCCTGTAGCTTGCCCCAGTGAAGTCCTCAGGCCGCTGGTTAGGAATGGGCCGCAGTGTTTGCAGAGAACTACTGCTGAAGTGCAGTTTGTACAAAAAGCACAGAAAAGGCTGTACAAACTCACAACATTATTAACTATAGGCAGACAGATCTCGAACGTGGCACCAAGTTCAATTGTGCACACCTGCAACCTGCGTGAACTAAAGATGATCAGGCACTGTCTGCACAACACAAAGTCACACAGGAGATATCCTAGCATATGCAATAGGAAATACCATGCATTACTAGGCATAAATCCCAACATTCACATCAGAACTCTGCAAATTGATAGCGTGACTCAGTTTTCACTATGATGAATCAGTGCATTGGAATTACACTCTGGACTGTGTTTTACTGGAAGACAGATGAAGTTAATGTTTGGAAAATTAATACAAGGCTACATTGTTTAGAATTCAGTGCAGTGCGTAGAAAAACGGGTTAGATCGGGTCTTTACATACTGCTTCTGATGTTCTGCTCGCTGGCTCAGTTCGACTTCTAGGAGGAGACAGAAAGGTGATCAGAGAGGAGACAGAAAGGTGATCAGAACTCAAAATAAAGCACTTGTACCCAAAGAAAGCATCGAAAATCAATTATAAATCCTGAACATCAAAACATTATGTTCCCATAGTCTAGGGAATATGGAAATTTATTTGTGTACACAAACTCTTATCTCTTGGTCATTCAGTGCAACTAAAAAAACCTCCAAAATCCCATTTCTACTTTGTCACAAAGTCAGACTTACAGATACAGAACACAACAGTGCAAGAGAAAGTCCTCAGATATTTTCTCTGCCACATCAGTATCAAATATATCAAGTCTGTAGTACAGCTTTGTGTTCTTAAATAATCAACCCTCAAACTATGAACGTAGCTTCAGGCAATCTGTACATTCCTAGTATTACAAACAGCTGTCACATACAGTACTTTAGTTTCTATGGCGGAACAGTGATAGTCCCAACACTTCAAAGGGCAAGTTTACTTCAGTGAAAAATAATCAGTCATCTGACAAAGAAGTGACAAAACTGTCAGCAGCTTAGTTTTAGAAGAGTGTTTCTTTGTGGAAGCCCAAGCACTGTGTTCAGGTATCTACCATGCTTAGCCGGGAAAGTGCCAAAGTACTAGACATGTTACATACGCTTTATTGACTAAAAATAGGAGTAGAAATGTCACCTGAAAGAAGCTGCTCCAGGGATTTTGTGTGACTGAGGAGCCCTGTGACCAAAAAAAAAAGTCTTAATTGCACTGCACTGCAGAACTCTCTTCGCTATAAAAGCCATGAAAGCGAACACATATAACAAGGAATCTCTCCACACAGACAAAACAGGATCTACAACTTGGTTCTCATAAAAATTAACCCCAAGAACAAACCCGATAGAAACATTTTAAAAGTTTCCATTGTTGGAGTTTGAACCCCGTATCCCAGCAGGCCTAAAAACACAAGTCTGCTTTGGGGCCGATACATGAAAATCTACTCAGTGACAACAAAATCTAACAGAAGCTTTAACAAGAAAGAAACAATCTGAATGCCTCAAATGCATCACAACAGTTCACACACTGAAACCAACAGCCAAGAATGCAATGCTGTGTGGACACTTACGGAACATCTGTTTTGCCGGTAGCTTTAACTCCCCCAGCAGGGATTCTTTTGACAATTACTGATGAGTTTTTAGGAATCAAGGCATCTTCTGTGTATTCTGAAACCAACAGAAGTACAGAAAAAGACATTCAAAAGGACATGTATTAATACATAATTAACTACATAGCGCTTCAGAGAAGGCCTCTACAGATACAGAAGCCAAATTTCGTATGTAACATCGTGCCTTCATTGTCTGAACGCACTAACAGTACCTTTCAAGACATTTTCAGGTTTGATAACCAAACACCAGCAGCTAAATCTTTCTCCTTTTTTAAAAACAGTTTGAATGCCAACATCAAAAGGGTCTCAGAGGTCACTACAGGACAGCCTGCTAATACAGGGGGGGCTTTCCTGAACTACCTGAGGTTGCTTTTGCTTCTATTAGGCTACAAAACCAATAGATCTCTGGAGAAAAACAAACCACCACAAAGTCTCACCTGCATAAACCAGGTTCTAAGGTCTGACTAGCTTGCTCTGAAACAAGCCAGGCATTAGTAAAAGCATGAAAACTCAGAGCCACTGCTTTCACCACTGTTAACTGAGTCACTTCTGCTGCTGGTGCTCCAGAGCGAAAGAATGCAGAAGAGAGCCTGCCACCTTTCTCTGTTTCTTGGAGCTTAATCCATCCAAAGCCACACTTCTCATCTGCTCAGTGCTTTACATTTGCTTGATCAAGTCTGACACTAAGCCTAGATCCAGCCACACCTAGGCTCCATCACGAGTTTAGAAAGCCAGGGGGTCCACTCTGAACTTTGTGTCTCAGTGGGAGGGCTTCCTTTTTTTCATCTTTGGTTTCCATGCCAATCATTTTAGCTGGATTCTACCTTGATTTTCTTTTTTGACATTCCATTAGACATGAACCATTGACCAAGCCTGAGACTAAGGCTAGATCTAGCTTCACCTAGGCTCCCCTCAGGGGTTTAGAAAGCTCGGGGCTCTCTTCTGGACATTGTGACTCAGTGTGCACATTTGACAAACTGGTGTAGCCAGCAGGATGCTCAATCAGATTTCATGACTCCACCCCACTTAATCCCTGGCACTGCTTACGCTCTTGGTGCTCCTGCCACCTGGCAGGATGGGCCCCAGGCTCACTTGTGCTATGTGTGGATGAGCCATAAAAGGCAGAATGCGGCTTCTGCTGGCTGCGGCCATCATGGGGTGCTCTGCAACGTCGCCAGCCAGGACATCCCCAAAGCCCTGCACATGCTGCGCACACGTACCTTCTTTGGTCTGGGCATTGCTGATCTGCAGATCACAGTTGGCTGCCTTCAGCTTCTCCTTGCGCATGATCTTGCACTTGAGGTCGCAAAGGGAGATGTCGAGGCCACTGAAGGTGACCGTATCATAGTTCAGCTTGGAGAAGAACTTGTAGTGGATGCAAGACATGGCTGGGGCCAGGCAGCGCCTGCTCCACTACCGTGTCTAGCTCAGCAAATGACAGGTAGAGGCCTTGCAGCCTCTGCCAAGGTGAGGGCACGCGGCCAAGCCCACTGACGGAGCTGGGGTGAGCAGCACGGGCTGAGCTTGTGCTGGCCAATGGCGCTCAGAGGCTGCAGCACTCTGCCACAGCCAGGCCCTGACACATCAGGCAGCGTTGGCTGACAGCACCTCAGGCCTCCATCGTGGCGTAGTGAGGCCCTGGCTTTGCCACCTTAACAGCTCCAGGCTATGGCCCTCAGCAAGTGAGCTGTGCCGTGTGTTGGCACCTGCCCCAGTCCTCCTCAAAGCCCAGGGGGGGAGAGTTCCCCAAAGCCCTAGCTGGCCTCAGTGTCCTCTCCCGCATGCAGCACTCCGAGGCCTGACCAACCTCTATGGCAACTCAAGCACCTCTGCCCCATTTGCCACACCACAGCACACCCAGGTGACCCAGCACACTGTGACAAAAGGCTCGTGTCACACGCAGGTCCAAGCACCCCCACCCAAGCAGGGGGACCCGTCACACCTGGGCCTGTCACCACCCTGAGCTGCTCCTGTCCCTGCTGTCACCCCAGCCTGACCTCACACAGGGACCACCCTGTCATCCCCACGCTGTCACTACAGTGACCCTCCCGTCAACATCCAGCCAGGGTGAAGCATCCTGGGCCGGATGCAGCCCCTCTGTGCTGCTCAGCTGTCCGTGCCACGGAGCCAGCAAAGGCAGGGGATGTAACGAGGTGCTTGAGCGCATCTTAAAGAATCACAGACTTCAGTCAAAGCAGCCAATGACCATTTATGTTTATTGCCATCAACCAATGGACTTCCCCAGTGTCACACATCCATAGTTGCTTGAACTCTGCAGGAAAGGACTAAAAAGTAGCAAATGAACCACCAGCACTGGAAGAGGCCCAGGTTAGAATCAGTATCTCTTCTGATCCCCTCACTCTTAACTACTGATAGCTACAGGAAAAAGTGTTGCAGCCCTCTGGCAGAATGTAGCTCTAAATTCCCCCTCTCTGTAACAGCTTTTGTATCACAGTGAGGGGTTGCAAAACTAGAACAAGCTATACAGCAAATATGTCAAGGCAATTAGAAAAAGCCATTCCTGAAAGCGCAAACACCATTATAGCCCTACAGGAAGAAACCAAATCCTTATCACAAATGGTAATACGGAATCAATCAGCTCTAGACCACCTTTTAGAACTACAGGACAGAGAATGTGCATGACAGAGCATGTGCAGTATTGACTAATAGCCACTGGGGTTTTATGTGAATCAGTACCAGAACAACAAAACTGAGAGAAACAAGATAAAGACTCATTAAAAAATATTACATGAAGTAAGGCAGGGATTTCCACTAAACCTATTTGGGTGGCTAACTTCCTGACTCCCAACAAAGGTAGAGGACTGTGAACTAAAAGGAGCTGAGTTGTTGTAGTCCCTCTCTTGTTTTGCTTTGTAAAGATGTATGTCTGTTCTCAGTGTTGTGTGACCTTATGGACTCAACTTATGACTTGAACAGTGAATAGGACAGTGTGACCCTAAAGGTCACAAGAAAAGGAGGCACTGTCAGGACAATCTCTTTCCCTAACTATTGTAGCAATTGGTCTTTAGACTATGAAGTTGGATGAACTTTCTTCAGGTACATATAGTTGACACTGTAAGCTGCATAGCTGTGGTTCAGTAGCACAACTGAAGAACCCCAGCTCACTGCAAGGGGGAGAAGAACAGCCCCAACTCTGAAGAAGAAAGGATACCTCTGCACTACCCAGAACAGAGCAGCAGCCCAGCCCCTCTGACATCTCAGTGAAACCCTTCCCTCACCTCGCAGCACAGAGAAGGTACGGCAGCAAGACCAGCTGCAGGGATGTCTTGGTCAAGAAAGAAGCAGATGGAGGACAACGCCACGCAATTAGAGCTGCTTTGCAAAACAGGAGTATATGTGTGTGTTGAGTAGGCACTGGTCAAACCACTGAGCGCTTGAAAGGTGTAAGAACCATGTGTAAGAACCACAGCCTGTTTAGTCTAGAGAAGAGGCGACTGAGAAGGGATTGTCATCAATGCATATAAATATCTGAAAGGCAGGTGCCAAGAGGATGGTGCCAGACTCCTTTCAGTGCTACCCAGCGACAGGATGAGGAGCAATGGCCATAAACTAAAGCACAACAAGTTTCATCTCAACATGAGGAAGAACTTTCCAGTGAGGGTGTCAGAGCACTGGAACAGGGTGCCCAGGGGGGCTGTGGAGTCCTCCTCTCCGGAGACATTCCAAAACCACCCAGACACATTCCTGTGTAACTTGCTCTGGGTGGCCCTGCCTTGGCAAGGGGTTGGACTGGAAGATCTCCAGAGTTCGCTTCCAACCCTAACAATTCTGATTCTGTAAAACCACGCTCAGGATGCCCCACAATTTGACTGGTACACCTCATGGCCATGAATAGAGAATTACTCTTGAAATTCTGTATTTTGTGTCCTAGCCTCTCTCCTTGGACAGCACATGCCTTTGGAAGAATTTTTAGACGCTACTCCTCTCCCCAGTCTGAAAGGTGTCCTCCAAGGCACTGCCCCTGTGGAGGCCCAGAAGCCTTCTGTTCATGGGGGGAGACTTTACCTCCATCATCGCACTGTCCTCCCAGGAAATGATCACTCCGGAAGGACTCTCACTGAAAATGTAACTTGAATAGGACTGCTGTGTGATGTGGGTCAGGTTGGCTATGGGGACTGGGCAAGCCATTCTGTGGTGAACTGGAGACAGTGGCAGAAAGTCCAGGGTACCCAGCTGCCAGTACTGGGGCTCAGCAGGCTGCAGGACACACAGAAATTCCCAGCTGCTCACCAGTGCTGCTGACAGACATCAGGGTTTCTTGAGATGCCACTGCTGGTCAGAAGGCTACATGCAGCAAAACATCTGTCCGCGTGATGAGGCCTAAAGCAGAAAAACACAGTTACCAAAAGCATCCACGTGCACAAGGGACCCCTCCAGCTTCTCCCCCCAAAAATCAACTGCATCCTTAGATGCATGATTTAAGCAGACAGAGGCTTCAGCAACAAGCCCAAGAACTTCTGACTTGTGCACCTGGCCACCTATTTTCAGTGCATGTTGCAAATGCTCTCAGGCAGCTCACTACCCTGATCCAGGTTTTAGAAAGCTGCACAACTACAAACCTCCTCCACTTACACCCTGAGCCACAGAAAAGCACACACAGCGCAAGGGGGATGCGCTAACACCCTGGTTAAGACATTCACTGCTCACTGGGCTGCTCCAGGTTGTTGCACTGGCATGAAAGGGCACATTGTACTGTGGGACAGGAAGGCAAGGGGCAAAAGGTTACACCAAACCCCTTAACCCAGCAATGCCACCACAGTCTCTGCATCATGCGGTGTCTTTTCTGAGATCTCAAAGAAGCAGCCGTGTCTAATATGCCTCCTGGGACAGGGTGCACAAAAAGCCTCTACCGGAGCAGAAAACAGGATCCTTACTGGGCTCTCAGCGAAAGTCCCCACATCCCCAGGCTGGTGGGATATCAGCAGCACATCCGCACCTTTGATGGTCGGGGTCCACTACAAAGATGGTTTCCATTCTGTCACATCCTCTGAGCTTTAACAGCTGGCAGAGCTGGTTCACCCAGGGTCTCGGTACCACCCAGGCACATCACCTGCAGTCCAGCAGTACTGCTGAAAAGACCTTGATGGCCTGCGTTAACACACTGGCACGTAGCTGGGATGTAAATACTGCCAAATCATCTCTCAGTTGCAGCAGAGTACCAAATTTAGCAAAATTAGCCTTACTTCTGATGAAGCTTTCCTTACAGACAGCTCATCTTCTTTGTTTATAAACTATAGTAAAGACCTGTTCTAGCATGAAGACTCAAACCCTGCCTGCAGTGAAGCAGCCGTTCAGACAAGCTGCACTATTTTTTCCCTCATTCCTCCTTCCTTCACAGAAATCAATCCCTACAAAAAGTACCAAAAGTGCCAAAAGCTCTGCACAAAGACTGCATAGAAAAGCCAACTGCAAGTGCCTTTACCTGCTACTATTTTATCAGGCAGCGTTCTAGGAAGAAACTAGCTTTTCCCGCTAGTTTTGCTACAGCTTCACTACCTTTGAAGACAACGCTTGTTACATTTACCAAGCCAAGGCAACCTCATAGCTCAGCAAAATCATGCTTCCTGTAAGAAACCTTCACCATAAGGTGAAGACAGGCACGCTATAGGAACAAGTTACTCTCAAGACACTCTTTCAGCCGCTCTTCCCTTTGCTTACCAAAGCTCACGGAGCATTAGAAAACAACAACGAAAAAGCAGGGCTCTCTCTCCCATTGACAGAGCCCATTATACCACGCATTCAGTCCAGCTCCAGTGTGAACCCCAGAATAAGAAATGCAGTCTTCAAGTTTCTGGAAAAAAAAGGAAGAGCTTTGAAGTGGCAAGACCAGAGAATGCTCATGAAAGCAGCACCAGCACCCAAGTACACATGCCTTATCACAGACCACCCACCCCATTACCAAAGTGAGTGATGCCGTCAGTATACTTGCAGCTCAGGGTCTTATGATCATGAATTAGTGCCAGCAAAGTCAGCTGGAACTGGAGACAGGAAGGAAACCAGATGCAATCGGTCTGATTTCATTCAAGCTCAGGTAAGTTCAATTTCACATTGACTGCGATTCACAGCAGGTGCCAGGCAACAGCAGGACACAGATTCTCCAAGAAAAGCACAGGCAGCAGGACAGGTGAGAGAGAGGGAAAAAGGGACAGGGAGGCAGGACAAAGGCAAAGACAGGCAAAAATAAGAGATGGGGAGCAGGACAGAGTTGGAGGTTAAGAAAGCCAGGGCTGGGCAGCAGGGCAGAGAGAGATGGAAGGACAAACAACACACTGTGCTGCTGACTGAGAAATACCAGCGACAGAGAGCAGGACAGAGTAGTGGTGGTGGGGAACCCTAAGAAGAAGTATGACAGAAAAATGGGGGGGACAGGGCAAAGACAGGGAGCAGGAGGGAAACAGAGAGAAAATGAGAGGGACGGAGCAGGGCAGAGGCGGAGAAAGAGGGAAAGAAGAGAAAGGCAGCAGAACTAAAAGAAAGAGAGAAAAGAGCAGGGACAGAATGCAAGACAAAGTGATGGATCAGAAAACCCTGATGGGCTTCAGGCTCAAGATGAAGGAATGAAAAAAATAGGAAGAGAGAGCAGGCCAGAATGACAGAGAAAGAAGGAAGAGAGAGCAGGGCAGCACTGGAGGACAAAACCAATTGCTGGGCATCAGGACAAGAGAGGGGAAAGAAAAATTCCAGATCAAGAGTGAAAGAAGGCACAGCCAGCTGGACAGAGAGGCTTAGCAAGAAAGGATGGAACAGGGAATGGGATAGAGAGAAACACAGGAAAAAGGGAAATAAGGACATGAGAGGAAAAAAAGGGTAGGCATCTGCACAGAGATGGAGAAAGAAGCAGCACGGAAAGAGGAAGAGAGGCAAACAGAGGGAGAGGGAGCAGGGCAGAGAGAAGGAAGGACTACGGGATTGACAGAGATCACCAAAAGACGTGGTGGGTAGAGGAAAGGTGAGTAGGTGAAAAAGAAATAGGGGCGGGGAGAGCTTGCTAGCAACACCAAGCTGTGTGGTTCGGTCGATACGCTGGAGGGAAGGAATGCCATCCAGAGGGACCTTGACACGCCTGAGAGCTGGCCAATGCCAGCCTCACGAAGTTCAACCAAGCCAAATGCAAGCTCCTACACCTGGGTCGGAGCAATCCCAGGCACAGCTACAGGCTGGGCAGAGAAGAGATTCAGAGCAGCCCTGAGGAGAAGGACTTGGGGGTGTTGCTTGATGAGAAACAGAACATAAGCTGGCTTCAGTGTGTGCTTGCAGCCCAGAAAGCAACCGTATCCTGGGCTGCATCAAAAGGAGCGTGACCAGCAGGTCAGAGGAGGTGATCCTGCCCCTTTATTCTGCTCTTCTGAGACGCCACTTGCAGCACTGTGTGCAGTTCTGGTGTCCTCAACATAAGAAGGACATGGAGCTGTTGGAACAAGTCCAGAGGAGGCCACAAGGATGATCAGGGGCTGGAGCACCTCCCCTATGGAGAAACGCTGAGAACATTGGGGCTGTTCAGCCTGGAGAAGAGAAGGCTGCAGGGAGATCTCAGAGCAGCTTCCAGCATCTGAAGAGAGACTACAAGGCTCTTCATCAGGGACTGGAGTGACAGGACAAGGGGTGATGGGTTCAAACTGAAACAGGGGAAGTTTAGCTTAGATATAAGGCAGAAGCTCTTCCCTGTGAGGGTGCTGAGGCGCTGGCACAGGGCACCAAAGGAACTTGTGAATGCTCCATCCCTGGCGGTGTTCAAGGCCAGCCTGGACAGAGCCTTGGGTGACATGGTTTAATGTGAGGTCCTCCTGCCCAAGGCAGGGGGGGTTGGAACTGGATGATCTTAAGGTCCTTTCCAACCCTCACTATTCTATGATTCTAAAACCAGAGCAACAAACAAGAATAACAACTGAGAGAAAGAGAAGTGCAGGAGCAACGAGCAGCTCAGAGGGATGCAGAAAGAAAGAGAAGTATCAGAAGCCCTGCAGAGCGATGGAGGAAGGGTCTGGGAGCAGCAGACACAGCCAGGGAGAGGAGAAGCAGGCAGGGAGAAAGACAGGGCCAGTGGGATACAGAATGAGCTGCAACAAGCAGAAGGGGCTGGTAGAGTGGGAGAGAAAGAAGGACTTGAAGAACAGAGGGACGTGGAGGACAGCACAGTAATAGAAGAGAGGTATGGGGAAGCGAAACAAATGACAGCAAGGGAAAAGGGAGCGGGCAGCTTGGAGAGATGAGAGGCAGATACGGCCCCAAGGGCCGGGCACTCACCACAGCTCCCGCTCTCCGTCCTGCCGGGGAAACTCTTCAGCCCAGGCCCTTCTTCCTCTGCCTCTCTGTGCTCTCCCTTTCCCCCTGGGCAGGCCCAGGGCCAGCTGCAGGGCGCAGGCCGGGCTGGGGCAGCTCGGGGGGCTCTGGCAGGCGGGGTGCCCGGTGCCTGTGCCCACAGCGGGGCTGTCTCCATCTCCCCAGGGGCTCGCTCGCCTCAGCGCTGGCCCCGGCCCCGGCCCTCCCCTGAGCTGGGCCGCAGCCCCAGCAGAAGCTGCAACACCCAACACCAACATGGCCGCCGGCAGCCCCTGCCCTAGCACTACAGCTCCCAGCATGCCCTGGGGCGCTCCTCCTGCTGCCAGGCCCTGCTGGGCCACCGTCCCCTGGGCATAGGCCCGAGGGAGCAGGGGGAGCGGGTGGGAGGGGCCGCGGGGAGTGAGCACGGGGAGGAGCAGGGCAGGAGCGAGCCGGAGAGGCTGAGGGGCAGCAGCAGTGTGGGTCGGGGGGAGGAGGAGGAGAGGGAGAGAGCAGCGACGGCCTCCAAAGGGCGGGGAGCAGGATGGAGCCCAGAGGGAAGCACGGCCTGGCGAGGAGGGAATGCAGGGGGAGCGGGGGAGGCAGGCTGCAAGACAGAGAGGGAAAGCAAGGCTTGAAAGAAGAGAAGGGAGTGGGAGGGAGAGAGAGATTTGGAGAAGGGGGAAATAGCAACAGGCTCCACAACACACAGGGGGGAATTAGAAACTAAAGGCAGGGAGTCAGGCAGGGGAAGAGAGGAACAGCGAGGGGCACTGCTGGGTGTGGGAGGACTCTGGCCCAGAGCTGGTGACTGCCGGAGGACTGTGTCCTGAAGTTTGGAGCCCCCCACATCCGTGGTCATTGCTGCCTTGGGGAAGAGCCATGGTAAGACACCAGCCACCCGGAAGGACGAGTGTTTCCTCAAGGGTGTGTGGCTTTTTGGTATTGCTTTTGAGGGAGAAACTGTCAAAGAGGCTTCTGTTCTTGTTTAGGGATGTTTTGTAAAGACCTTGACTGACTATTGTGTGACTTGAAACGTTGCTGAAAAACGGTAGAGGTTTGTCTGCCTGTTCTGGATGCTTTGGGTTTGAACATCTGCTTGTGGCAGTGACTTGACACAGTCAGCTACCGTGTCAAGGCACAGCATGTGCTGAGGGCGAGACTCATCCTACACGACAGTGGGTGTGAATTCCTATTTCAGACAGGCTTCTTGATCTTGTCGAATTTTGGGGGCCAAATTCTTCTCAGATCTGATTTGTTCATCCTTGATTTTGCCCCTCTGCGTGGCTGGCAAAGAGCTCGTGGGAGGAGCAGGAGGAGGGTCAGCGGTGCCGTTTCTACATTGGTTGCTTGTGCCGGACTTGCCAGGGTTATCTTCTGCCCGTGGCTTCTTTGCAGGAACCTCTTTTTAAGAGGTGTCTGGTCTGTGAGGGGTAGTGGGCTCAGTGGAGCCCTTGTGCTGCTCGTTAGTGCCTCAGGGGTTTCCGTGTCACTGTTTGTTTGCTGTGCTGGCGTTAAAAAGCGTATTGTAGCTCCTTGGATTCCTGGCATTAAATGAAGTCTCTGGGATTTCTGCCCAGGAGTGAGGTGTCCAGAAAAGGACTGTCCTTGTACGCTGCTGTCAGCCTTCACTTCAGAGAAGTGTCTGGTGGTGGTGTATTTTAATGGGAATGTAACTCAAAGGCAGCTTAAATCGACCACCTTAGTCCTTGTTGCTGATATGCCTGGGGGATGATTCTCATCAGGTTGTCAACAGCATGTTCTGCTGTGCTTTACCTATTTGAGATACTCTGTCACCAGAAATGTCTTCCGTAGTACCTCCATAGAACAAGAACCTTATGCCCTGACCCTTGGGGCAGCTTCAAGGCGACAGCTAAATGTCAGTAGCTGCAGTGGTAGCAGTGTGTATGTGTGTGTGTGTGTGTGAAGATCACCTGAGCCTCCACATTTATTCAGCGTGTCCCAGCTTGGTGTGGGTAGGGGTGCATGAAGTCAGAATGTTGTAGGTGTTGTAACTGGCCAGGCAGTGTCTCTAAAGCAACAAGAAATGAGCCCTTCTAGAGGCATGCCTGCGGATGTCAAGGTGGGGGGCTGTCGCCTTTTCCTTCCTTGGGCTGAGCACAGAGAGCTAAGAGGTGTTCTTATCGGGGGAGGGAAGCCCATCAAAGATCCATCATCAGCCTCCAGGCTTGTGGTCCTTGATGTGCTTAGAACAGTTTTACTGGGGTGGTGTTAGTCCTTTGGCTCCCAGGTTTTCCCTTTAAGGTTTGCTCTCTGCTTGATTTGCCTTTATAGTGTTTGGTAAATGTTCTCCATTCAAAGCCCTCAGACTCTGTACTGCGTGTTCCTTTCTCTGAAACCCCATCAACAGCTTTTTTTCCCTAAACTCTGCAGTTCATCCAAAGATGGTGTTGCCTTTCTTTGCAGGCTGACCTCAGGCATTTGTAGGAGGTGAACGATGACTCTGCGGCTCTTTGTTCTCAGGACAGGCAGAGAACTGTCTCAAGACAGTTCTCTGCCAACATGCATATTTACTCTTCTGTGTCAGGTAAGAGCAAGTGGGAAAGGGTGTTCAGAATACCGTCCCTCTCTTGTTCCTGATCTTGTGGTTGCTGTTCTCCAGCGGTTTTACTTTCTCCCTTAGGTTTGTCTGGTTGAGTTCTGTCTGGTTTACAGTTCCCCAGCTTCTTTCTTCTCCATCCTTGCTTGGCACAAAATTCTTGCACTTGTATAAATTGCTAGCTGTCTGCTCTCTGAGACTGGCTACCTGTGGAAAGAGGTGAAAGGGAGGCCCGAGAGAGTATCAAGGGGAGTT